TGGGTGAAACCATTTGAGGAGTGTTGGTATTGCTTTTCCTTGAATTTCTGGTAGAATTCTGCACTGAAGCCATCTGGCACTGGGCTTTTTTTGGTTGGAAGGCTTTTGATGACTGCTTCTATTTCATTAGTGGCTATAGCTCTATTTAAGTTGTTTGTCTGTTCTTGATTTAATTTTGGTAAGTGATAGTTATCCAGAAATCTGTCCATTTCTTTGAATTTTTAATTTTTTTGGAGTACAGGTTTTCACAGTATGCCCTGAGCCTTGTTAGATTTCCTCAGTGTCCATTGTTATGTTCCCCTTTTCATTTCTGATTTTGTTAATTTGCATGTTCTCTCTCTGCTTTTTGGTTAGTTTGGATAAAGGTTTGTCTATTCTGTTCATTTTCTTGAAAAACAAACTCTTTGTTGCATTAATTTTTTTGTATTGTGTTCCTGGTTTCTACTTTATTGATTTCAGCCCTCAAGTTGATTATTTCCTGGCATCTACTCCTCTGGGGTGACTTTGCTTCTTTTTGTTCTAAGACTTTCAGTTGTGCTGTTAATTCTCTATTGTGACTATCCTCTGTTTTCTTCATATGGGCACTTAGTGCAATGAACTTCCTTCGAAACACTGCTTTCAAAGTGTCCCATAAGTTCAGGTATGTTGTGTCCTCATTCTCATTGAATTGTAGGAAGTCCTTAATTTATTTCTTCTTTGACCCAGGTATGGTGCAATTGTGCATTGTTCAATTTCCATGAGTTTGTAGGTTTGTGTTGTTGAATTCCGACTTTAAAGCATGGTGGTCTGATAACATACAGGGGACTATTCCATTTTTTTTTTTTTTTTTTTTTTTTTTTTTTTTTTTTATCTGTTGAGGTTTGTCATATTGCCTAGTATGTGGTCGATTTCAGAGAAGGTTCCATGTGGAGCAGAGAAGAAGGTATATTCTTTTGTGTTTGGATGGAATGTTCTATAGATGTCTGTTAAACCCAATTGAGACATAACTTCTGCATGTTCTTTTGTTTCTTTGTTAAGTTTCTGACTGGTGATCCTGTCTAGTGGTTAGAGTAGGGTGTTGAAGTCTCCCAATGTAAGTGTGTGAGGTTTTATGTTAACTTTGCGTTTCTTTTACTAATGTGGGTACCTTTGTATTTGGGGTATAGATGTTCAGAATGGAGACTTTATGCTGATGGATTTCTTGTGTGAAATATGAAATAACCATCTTCATCTCTTTTGATTGATTTTGGCTTGAAGTCTAACTTGTTAGATATTAGGATAGCCACACCTGCTTGCTTATTGGGTCCATTTGATTGGAAGATCTTCACCCAACCCATTACCCTTTGTCTTTAATGCTTAGATGTATTTCTTGTATGCAGCAGAAGGATGGATTCTGTCTTTGTATCCATTCTGTTAGCCTGTGTCTTTTTATAGGCGAGTTAAGATCATTAATGTTGAGGGAGAGTAAGGAGCATTGATTGTTAATGCTTGTTTGTTTTAGGTTTGTTGTTGTTGTTGGTATTGTGAATATATTTGCCCTGCTATACTGTTAGGTTCTGGCGAAGTGGGATTATCTATTGCCTTTGTCTTTGTGAATGTAGTTACCTTTCTTGCGTTGGAGTTTTCCATCCAGAACTTTCTGTATGGGTAGATTTGTAGATACGTATTATGAAAATCTGGCTTTGTCCTTAAGTATCTTGTTTTCTCCGTCTATAGTGATTGAGAGTTTTGCTGGGCTGGCACCTGTGGACTCCATGGAGAAGTTAGGTGTAATTTTGATAGGTCTGCCTTCATATGTTACCTGGCCTTTTTCCTTTGCTGTTCTTAATATCCTTTTTTTTATTTTGTATGTTAGGTGTTTTGATTATTATGTGTGGTCTTTTTTCTCTGGTCCAGTCTATTTGGTGTTCGGTATGCTTCTTGTAATTTCATGGGCATGTTTTTTCTTCAGATTTGGAAAGTTTTCTTCAATGATTTTGTGGAATATGTTCTGCACTTTTGAGCTGGGCTGTTTCGCCTTCTTCTATGCCTATCTTTCTTAGGTTTGGCCTTTTCAAGGTGTCCCACATTTCCTGGATGTTTTGTGTTAAGGATTTGTTGGATTTAAGATTTTCTTTGGTCGAAGAATCCATTTCCTCTAGTTTATCTTCAGCGCCTGAGATTCTCTCTTCAATTTCTTGTATTCTGTTGGTTATGCTTGTGTCTGTAGTCCTTGACCGTTTGCCCAATTTTTCTATTTCCAGCATTCCTTTAGTTATGTTTTCTTTATTGTTTCTATTTCAGTTATCAAGTCTTGAACCTTTTCCTTCACCCGTTTAATTGTTTTTTCTTGGCTTTCCTTAAGAAATTTTTTTTCCCCTTCCATTTCTTTAAGGGATTTTCTCACATTGTCTTTGAAGGTCTCTATCATTTTTATGAAGACATTTTTAAAGTCATTCTCTTCTACTTCATCTGCTTTTGAGTGTTCAGGTCTAGTTGGTGTAGAGTCCCTAGATTGTGGTGGTGTCTTGCTTGTCTTTATATTGTTAGGTGTTTTCTTGTATTGTCTTCTTCCCATTGCTTCTTTCAGTGGGTGCAGGTGGGGTCTCTGTCTTATGCTACTCCTCCTGTGGGCTTAGGTGGGTCAGAAGTTTGATGTCTGTAGTTCTGGGTGGTCCAAGCTGTCTAGGAAGTCTCTCCTCAGACAGGGCCCTGGTGTTGGAGGTCAAAGATCAGGCTCCAGCAGAGTCCCGGAGATGGGGGTCAAAGATCCAGCAGGCAGGGACTCAGAATGGTCCTGAGGGGATAGGCAGCCGGTCTCTGGCTGGGGTCTGGAACTCTATCAGAGGACAGGTGGTGGGGATCAGAGATCAGCCAGGCAGGGATTAAATGTGGTCCAGTGGGGGTAGGTGAGTCTAGTGTGCTTGGAGAAGCCCCTGGAAGTTCCCTGAAGGTGTCAGGATTGTTGGATCCACCCTCTGTTCCAGTGCTCAACCAGAACAGTGGGACAGTAGGCAGGGTATGGCACAGGGTTGGGGGAGGGCAGGATCTTTCTGGGTGTGTTTGTATCTCTTGGGTAGTTTAGCGAGATTTGTAGCCAATCCAGGGAGTTCCCAAGGAAGGGTGTTTGGAGGATTCAACCCGAACTGGTCCCAGACTCACCTCCCACAGAGGCCTGGCGATGGGGGTCAAAGATCCTGCAGGCAGGTCCTGCCAGGATCAGAGCGGTTTATTTTTTAGTTTATTGTTGTTTTTGTTATTTTTTTCCTACAGTGGATTCTTGGGTCTTTTGAATGCTGGGCAAGTGTTGTACCATTGTGTTGTTTATCTCGCCCTCAGGGTTTTCACAACTTTTACTGATTACTGTGCAGCCTGGGTTGGCCTTGAACTTATGATGCCTCAAACTTCTGAAGCAGTGTGCCCAGAAACAACATACCATTAAACACTCTGTTGGCAAAATATTTTGGGGTTGGAGCAAGGAAAATACAAAATAAACATGGTCTGCCTGGTAACAATAAGAAAGTAAGAAGATGAAATCATATCAAAAGGGCATAGGAGACAACCAAAAGAGCATATTTTTTTTTTAAAAAAAAAAAAACCAAAATGAATATTGTAGTGTTAGATTGCTACTTAGAGTATATAATCAACCATCCATGGATCCTTTGAGAACTGTGCTGGAGTAGTTGTGAAAAGGAGAAAGTGAGGTCTTTCATGAAGAAGGATGAGCAGAGATGTGTGCCAGTGTAGAAGGATGAGCAGAGATGTGTGCCAGTGTAGAAGGATGAACAGAGATGTGTGCCAGTGTAGAAGCGTGAGCAGAGATGTGTACCAGTGTAGAAGCGTGAGCAGAGATGTGTACCAGTGATCTTTACTTCAGGAGATAGAACATGACTCCTTTGCGTTCACCTGAAAGTTGGTGAGACTCAGTCACTTCTAAAGACAGGCCATGTAAAGGCAAAAACAGACACTGTAGTGGAGAAGCCTGCCAAACACGGCCTCATCCAGCTGATGTTCTCCTTGATCTGTGTAAGAACTGTTGTCATCTCTGTGATGTTCCTTCACAAAACTGTGACACCACAGGAAGCAGACAGAAATGATCTTTTAAGAGAAAATATTAGATATGTTCAAATCAAAGGTAGTTCTGACAAAATACTAGAACAGTTTTTGTGCAGTGTTCCAGGTGGACAGATGAACTGTGGTGATGTAACTTGTTGTCATTAGGGGAAATCGGGCTAAGGGGAGACAGGCATTCTGTACCATCTTTCAACTTTTCCATCAATATCAAGTTAATCCAGAAACAAAGTTTAAATTTTTGTTTACTTAAGAAAGCAGCTTCTTGGCCTTTTTGTTGTTGTTGTTATTTGTTTGTTTTAAGGCAAAGTTTCCCTGAGTAGTCGTGCCTGGCTTGGAACTCACATGTCAGGCTAGCTTCCAACTCCCTAGTGCCTCCCTAGTGCTGGTATTAAAGTTGTGCACCAGTACACCTGCATGGCCACCTTTCTTGATCTGTGAAATTCATTATTGTGAAGAATATAAACTATGTTAGTATCAACCAGACGTTTCTAGTCAACATGTCTCATTTTAATATATCTCATAAAATGGATTAATATATAATGATATCAGCTTTGCATTTACAATGAGTTCTAGTCACAAACCATAGCTCATTTATATGTAAAATTTAATGGTCTTTGAAATGCCACATTGCTAAACTTGAAAACTGTAGACTAAGGTTAATGAGGTACAAACAAATAGCTATTCTGAAGGGGGGAAGTTAACCACTTAGATTATTTTGAGAATCCAAGTTGTGATTTACATGGGGGATTATGATTTGGAAAGTTCTTGTGTTGATACTGTGTTGATCAAAGTACAGCATTTTTGGAACTTAAATTTTAATAGCACTACTAGTTAGAACAACAACTAAAATTAATCTACTAGACTAAAGGAATACTTTAAAGCAATTGAAAGTGAAGTCTTCACTTGTATTCTCTATGAATGATGAATCTGAGTGAGTTTTTCATCAGTTCCCATTACTTCTTTTCTAGATTTGCTGTCTAGGATTGATTTGGATGAACTCATGAGGAAGGACGAACCACCTCTTGATTTCCCTGATACGCTGGAAGGATTTGAATATGCTTTTAATGAAAGTAAGCGCTATACATTATACATGGTGTTTATAGAATCATAGGAAACACATTAATTATTCTCTAATATCTAACTAGAATATTTTTTTAGGATTTTGGGGAGATAATGACCTATCTTTGCCTAGTGAAGTCCTTTACTCCGGTGAAAGAATCAGGGAACACTTTTCTGTAGTTGACAAGTAACATAAATTAATAGACATAAATTTGACTTAGTTTATACATTTCAACTGGAAACTCCTAATTGAATTACATAGAAAGGTACATCTTTAACTTGTTGTTTCAGATGACTGCAGTCATTATGTGTGACAATATTTTAAAGAAGAGTACCCAGTGTTCTGTCATTTTTCAGGAAAATACTTATTTAAAATCTTTGTAAGTTTGGGATTAAAACACCTTTATACCTGAGTTGTTGGAAAAGACATCATACCCCAAATATTGTATTTGAAGGCCTTTGCAGTTATGGACAGGTAGCATGAAGTTGTCATTTCCGTCTGTTGCACTATAGCTCTATATTGGTGTTCATTCATTATTGTGTTAATGTGTCCCCTTAGGATGTCCTCATTACACTTAGTGGTGTAGGGACTTCTTCTGCCCTTGTGTACTTGAATACCCAATGAGTTTCAAGAGAAGATGGTAAAATCTTTGATCACTTTTCAGATAGGATGATTTTTTAAATCAAGAATGTTTTATGACAAAACATCTATCAATAGTGATATTTTGTTTCCTGTTGGTTTGTGTGCTGTTTTTCTTCCTGTTGAAAGCAAGGGGGAAGATGGTCCATCTTTTTTCATTGTAAATAGGCTGATGATTAAAACTTTTAGTGAATAGAGACTAATGTTTTTCATGAGGAGAGGTTTTGTTTTTTTTTTTTTTGTTTTTTTGTTTTGTTTTTGTAGAACACTATGATCTAGATGGTTGATAGTAAACATGGGGCATGTTCCATGAAGACTATCTCACAGCACTATATAGTTCTGTAACACAAAGATTGGGAACGTTATGACCAAATACTTACTAGTGTGTGGAGTCCTCTGTACCTCATTTAAACCTTACTTGCTCTGGGTCTTCCAGTCCAGTCCAGTGAGAGAGAAATGTAGATAGAGGGATAGTCAGCACATCCCAGGCTCTCCCTGCTTTATTTGTTGCAGCTTGACTGCAGGTCCTGGAACTGTTAATACAGCATATTAATCTTTGTCAGGGAAGCCTTGTGATTTGAGTGAGTCTCCTGTTAGCTTTCCTTCTCTTTTTCAGTCTCCGTTGATAGCTACAAAACTGTTACTCTGCATCCCATTCTACCCTCTAGTTAACCCTACAGTGCATTCTTATGACCCCACATCATTCTATACCACATGTCCATATGCATCACAGATGGCAGCTGTACATCACTCACTTCCTTTGACTCTTGTCTCACTTTGTGAAAAATTGCTTAGATTTTCAATGTTCATACTCCCAGATAGACTCTAAACTTCTTTAAGAATGGGGCCATGCTTAACGCTATTATCTGGTAGCAGTTTTTATCCATAGTGGCCTTCAGTAGTGTCAGTTTGCTTTAAAATAAGACATTATTTATTGTAAGTCACATATTATCTAAAATATATTCTAAATCATTGGAATATTGCTTGTTGTCTTTTAGAGGGGCAGTTAAGACACATAAAAACCGGGGAACCGTTTGTTTTTAACTACCGAGAAGACTTACACAGGTGGAACCAGAAAAGATACGAGGCTCTGGGAGAGGTATGTAAAGGGTTTGCATTTTCCAATTTGAAGGCTGAGGTACGCCATAAATACTGTTTTACTCAACTTTCCAATTTGAAGTATCAGAAGTAATGGTTCGGAAGGTGCCACAGTTCACATACTTCTTTCATGAAAAGCAACTTTTAAAATGCATTTTCTTCTTTGTATTTGGTAATTTTCAGTCATTTTTCTAGAAGCATCTCTTAATTTGAAGGCTGATTTTATACTAACATAGCCTTCATATGACTTTGGTATTCTAGTAAGCCATTTACATGGACAAACAAATTCACACCAAAATTTACCCTTTTTTGGGGGGAATTATTTTTAAAAGGTTCAATCTTCTACTGTGCCAGGAAAATGAGCATTACTTTTAAGTCTTTATTGATATGATCATTGTTATTAGGATAGTTGATTGGATCTCTCTTCTTTCCCTTTGGCTTGATAACATATTTGGCCTAAAACTGTGTGTCTTACATGGTCTCGCAAGAAGAAACTTTAAAAAGTGCCATTTGTCATTTTGGTGAATGTTTATCAGAGCTAAGTATTTCACTCATTCAGTATATTTTTAGTAAAAGGTATATAGACACATTTGTTTAATATGGTACCTATACAACCATTTTTCCCCCTTAAAAATCAGGATTTCTTTATTTACAATGGTCTTTTAATAAAGTAGTCAAAAAAATTCTTTGGTTAAAAAAACAAAGAGGACATTTTATAACAGGAACAAATGAAATATGATGAGACAATTTTCCTTTGGTCTTTTGCATTTCTGCATGTCTGAGGAAAAGTTTTGACTTTGTGTTCTATAATCTTTTTATAGGGACATTAAGTTATGTTCTCACAGGCTTTAAGGGTGCAGGGGTTTGTGGCCCTTTCCAAGGCATTGGGCAGATTTGTGTCCTAGTCAAGATAATAAAGACATTCTCACCTCTGTCTTTAATGTGGCCGTGATGGCAGGCTTACTCGTGGACTTCTCTGAGACCAGATTTGCTCAACTTGGGTTTCCTTAGCTGATGCAATTAGCGTGTGTTCACTGTTCACTTGCACATGCCCATCTTACATCTAGGGCAACTGAGAGAGATGGACATGGTTATCTGAAGCTGGCTTGCCTGTCTTCTGACCTAATAATCTGGTCCCTATGGCAGCAGCCCTAAGAATGTGCAGGCCAACCTGCCATTTTGGGACAACGTAATCTCAGGTTAAACAGCAGTTCCTCCCTCCCCACTAGTTTATTAAAATTTTTTAATTTTGAGTTAATATAATTGCAACATTTCCCCATTTTCTTTTTTCCTTTCAAACCCTCTTATGTGTCTTCTCTTGCTCTTTTTCAAATTTATGGTCTCTTTTCCTTTAATTGATTTTATATATATTCTTGAATATCCTTTAATATTAGTAACTTAAATGCACTTAGGGACCAGAATAATTTCTGCTTACATTGAAGTGCTTGCCCATTTCCACTTGAATTATATACTACCAACTTATGGTGTTTTCATTATGTAATAGCCAGGCAGTAATAGTCTTAGAGAAGTGTGTGTGTGTGTGTGTGTGTGTGTGTGTGTGTGTGTTCGTGTTCTTTCGAGATGATGTAGATCTTACTGTGTAATTCAGGTTCACCTCAAACGCACAGTGTAGCCCAGGTTGGTCTTGAACTTGGAATTATCCTCCTCAGCTTCAACCTCCCTAGTACTTGCATAACAATTGTGCCTTACCAAACTTAGCAGGGATATGTATTTTTTTTTTTTTTTAACCTTCTGGTTTCTTTTGCTCAAAACTGTGTCCTTCATCTATGTCAAATCAGCAGGTGAATGTGCTTGCTGCCCATCCGGATGGTGAGTCTGATCCTCAGAACCACATGGAGGGATGAGATAGTGACATCCTTCAAGTTTCCTGTGAGTGCTACACACTCTTGCAGCACACTCACTTCCCCCTTCTAAATAAACAAATAAAAAATACAAGTAGATGTAAGGCAAAATGCCACCATTATAGCTTCTTTTCTCATAATGGTCACAGGACTCAAAGCGTTCATTTTTAATTCATTTCTTTTAGATTTTTTTTTGAAATTAAAGAATTTGTTTTGTTTCTTCTTTTCCCTCTCTCTACCTTTTCCCATATATTTCCCCCTAATTCTTCCCCAAATTCATGGCCCCCATTTCTTCTATTGTTGTTACATTTATATACATATATATCCCCAAATATGTGAAGACTGGCTAACATGTAAGATTTCTTAAATCAGTATTTTCTTAAGCCAGTGTTTTGTAGCTCAACAAATCCCTGGGTTTCACATACCAATACATTTTATTTGCTAGTATGTTGACTGAAAACAGACAGAACTTGCTTACATAGAATTCAGTGTAATAGAAAGCCTGGAATGGGAAAGGGAAAGTTTTCTCATTACAGGTTATGTTCCATGCCCCCTTGCCTTTGGCTTCATGTTTGGAATACTTGTTTCATTGATAATTTGCTATAGAAGATTACTAACTCAATTCCATTTCCTGCATTTAAGTAATGAATTGTAAAAGGTCTCCTTTATATCAACAGTGACACAGTTGTCACTGTAGTAAATGAGTTGTTTGGACTAATTGTAGAATCCAGTGTATCTGTACACCAACTTTTCACTAATTAATTCTTTTCTGAGTCAGCCTTCAAATTCATTCTAATCAACTTACTTCTTCATTCAGACCTTGTTTTCGTATCTTAAGTTGTTTTGAGAAATTATTCTTCCTTTACCACAGACTCATTTGTTATATCTTCTTGGACTGTCTTCACTGCCCTTATATTTGAGTCTCTCTTCCCTTTCATGATTTCCATCTGATTCTTCCTTTCCTCTTCTCCTGTTTTATGTAAAAATGAACTAAGGACACTTTAAGATCAATGCTGTTCAGCACAATTAAATAGAAATAAAAATTAAACCATCAAGAGAGTTGTGCTGGTGACATGATTCCTGTGACTGTGACTAACTGTGGGAGGAGAGAGCTGACTCTTCCAAGTACTTCCTCCTATAGTACTTACCAGTCATCACTTTATTTATTTTGATCAATTAATTTAAGATTAAATTGTATGTATTTGGTTGTTTTGCGAATATGGATATATATGTACTATGTGCATATAGTGCCTGTAGAGGCCTGCAGAAGACTTTAGATTATTTTGAACTGGATTTCCAGACAGTTGCTAAGTACCAAGTGAGTACTAGAAACTGAACCTGGGTCCTATGGTGATATTTTATTTGTGCTATAAAAAAAATAAAGCTTCCCTGAAGACCAGAGTGCAGAGCTAAACCACTAGTTAGCCACAGAGGCCAGGCAGTGGTGGTACACACCTTTAATCCCAGCACTAGGGAGGTGGAGACAGGACTGATATAACTGGGCAGAAAAAGGAATATAAGGCGGAGGAGACAGGAGCTCAAAGCAGTCAGAGCATCACCCTTTTGGTTTGAGCATTGGTAGAGGTAAGAATTCTAGTGGCTGGCTGCTCTGCTTCTCTGGTCCTTCAGCTTTCACCCCTGAATAGCTGACTCTGAGATTTTATTATTAAGACCAATTAGAATTCATGCTACATCTGGTGCCCAACTTTTGGGGTACGAACTCTCAAGAAACCTGGAGCTACATGCAGCTGTACTAGCTAGGTTTTCCTTCTCTCCTGTTGGGCTTTCCCTGGACCTCCTTCTTGAACTGCTGCCAAACTAGTTAGCTGCCTTGAAATCCAGTCAGATTTTTACTGTTCTATGCAGCAGCAGCAGTCAGCCTCACATCTTCATCATCATTGTTGGCAGATTCATCGAGAAAATTGGAAATTCTTAAAGGGAGGAATTACTTAAAAGAGTTTTTTGTTTTTTGTTTTTTGTTTTTTTCCATGTTAAATAATGGGAAACAATTGCAATAGAGACATTTTGGTCTCTTTATAATTATGCAATGTATGATCTAAAAAATGGAAAAATTAAATGAAGAGATAATCAACTTAACCAGGTTTGGTAGAGTATTAATTATCATTTTCATAGTCCTTGTTGTTGTTTTGATAGTTCTTGGTTTATCTTTAAAAAATTTTTAGCTATGAGCTATGCCAACATACAGGGCTTAGAAAAACCTAATAAAACAAATGGATATAGATATTCAAGGCCAGACAGAGAAATTTAAAGGAGAACCAATTTCAGCATTGCATTGTAAGTTTAGAGAGAAACAGCCTAAGGTTTTCAAGCAACCAACCTTAATATATTCAGTAATCTTACAGGAATTGCTGAATGATAGAGGCTCTGTAAGAGCTGATTGGACTCCTGTAGCAATGTTAGATTTAAGGAGATATAAGGAAGCAATAGTCTCCTATGGCATGCATTCTCCATTTATGAAGAAGATGTTAAACTCATGATCAACTTGTAATAGAATTATTCCAAAAGACTTGTGAGCCTAGTTCTCAATTGCAATGAAGGACCTGGTGGAAAGAAAAGGCCAAGACCATTGAACAATAGAGTAGAGCTAGAGGTATGGAAATCTCCCAAGGTCCACTTCCTGGAGAAGGAGATTATGCTAATATAGAAGGCAATCCCTATATGATGGCCACATCCTGGCTTTATGCCATGCAACAGCTTTGAGTGCTTGGGACAGAATTGTAGAAGTAGGAAAGAGGATTGTGTCATACAGGGCCCAAAAGAAACCTTCACTGATTTCTTACTAAAATTGACATCAGTAGGAAATAGAATGATGCCAAATTCAGAAGCTAGACAAATAATAATTGAATCTCTGAGTTTTGAAAATGCTAATTCTCAATGCAAAAGGATAATTAGATCTTTAAAGGCAAGATCAGCACCCTTGGAGGAATGGATCAATATTTAATCTCATGACCATGATAATGCATGGGTATGAGAGGTGATTTCCAGAGTTTTGAAGAAAAATCAAAATGCCAAGTGTTTCAATTTTGGCAAACAAGGTCACTTAAAAAGGATGTAAACAGGGTGTTTTTAGACACAGTGTTTTTTTCTAAGCATATTTCTGGATTATGCAGAAGGTGTG